TAGATCGATTTTTGAATAGTAGTGAAATATAATAACAAAATGTCTTATTTAATACCTAAGCAGAATTGTTTTTGGTTTTTAAGTCAGTATAATTGTTGGACTACAAGTGGCAGTCTCAAGACTTTGAACCTATAAAATTAGAAGCTAAAAGTAATGAAAACTTTTATTGGTCAAATTTAAAGTGTAAAAATTATATACAATAAAAATTTTATACTGACAATCGGACTATATCGGATTATATTACCAACTACAGCGCACAACGCATTTTTATAAAATGTATTTAAATAGAAACAATCCATTGATTCACTGAAACCGAAAGGGAGTTCCATAAGTTCTGGGCTTCTGAGCGCATTGATTGTTTACAAATCGAGATAGATAACGAATTCGATAAAATATGCACATATTCACCACTGAAGATCCAGACTGTCATCAAAATTGTCATCAACCGCGTATACAACGATTTTATGGTAAAAACAGAAATAACTTTTCGGAAAGACAACATCTGTAAGGTAAGAAGAGCCTGCTACAATTCTTCCAAGAGATTTCTTATAAATTTTGTAGTTCGTTATTATCGTAACAGTTCGTAATAGTAATGATTTAAAGTAATTATTGTGACACTGATGGATCAGTGACTATTAAACCCGGGAAAAAACATTTTCTGATTGGGAGCAGAACCAGGAATACTTAGTTATAGTCACCTTATTGGTGATTTGCGATCACACCCTATTAATTGCACTAAGTGGTATCGCTAAGGACTTTAATACCAAAGAGTCCAATATATTTTCCAGCTTGTAGGGTTTCTAAGAAAAGTTTATTCAAAAACACCTCTAATTGTAAACATTTCAAATGAACAAAAATTTTCAGTATGTTAAATATTGATAAATTTGATGCCCTATTTATTATTAAATTATATAAATCTTGGAAATTGTCGATACTGTAAATTATGATAAAGAATTTTCCCAAATAGATTCTTTTCAGCAATCTATGTTATGGTTCACAAAGAAAATAGACTTAAAGGTCTCTTACTTTTATTTCCTTTTCCCCCCTCAGTATTTGGGAAAAATATTAATTTCTGTAAATTGAATGAATTTTGTATATTTAAATAAGCAAGCTAAATAGAAGTCAAAATTCGAATTAAATTTAACTTCAATTGAAAAATATTTAAAAACTATAAATCAGTCTGATTGTGTGTTAGAAAATCAGGTTCTTTGCTAGAGGTATATCGTACCAACCAATTTATTTTCAATAGAAAGCAAGAAACAACTTTTACTACAAGCAGAGTCCGAGTAGTTTAGTCCATTGCCAAAGCTTAATAATGGATCGCCAGAAATTAAAACAAATGGTGTCTTCAAATAGTGAAGCTGATGCTGCGACTGGAAAAGCAGTTAGATGCAAATCTATTACTGTTAGACGCTCCATTATTGTTACACGCTCTGTCACGGCACGGTTGTTAAGTGGAAAATGTGGTAAGGGTAAGGTTAATACAGATGCCGTAAGAGCCAGAAAGACTCAAGCGAAAAAAGACACAAAAAAGAAAGTAAAAGTTATGAAGAAGGAACGTGAAAACGTTAAGTGCATTAGGACCGAAATGGAGGATGAAAAAGCTAAGCCCAAGAAGAAGGTCAACAAGAAGGTCAAGAAACAGCGCGTAAGTCCACCTACACCCACCCAGACGAAACGGAAGGAAACTTGTAAAAAGAAAAAGATTGCAAAATCTAGGAAGAGGAACGAAAAGCTACTACTAGAAAATGTCGATCAACTTCCTCGCGTTAGAAAAAGGAAATATACTGAAGAAGAACATCACTCAGTGGTTCCTATTAAACGGAAGAGGAAATAAAGTTATGTATTTTTATATTTTTCTAATTTCATAAACTTTGTACAATATTTCTTATACTCAAAATTTGAAGTTCAAAATTTAAAGTTCACAAATTTTAAGTTCCAATTTGAAATTGCAAAATTTGAAGTTCAAAATTTGAAGTAAAAAATTTGAAGTAAAAAATTTGAAGTTAAAAATTGCAAGTTAAAAATTGTAAGGTTAAAAGTAGGTGTGTCCGTCTTTAGTATATAAGACTGCTATAAGATTGAAATGGAAATGCCTAAAATTTTAAATAAATCAACGTAATTAATCCACTATTCCACTAGTCATTATTGTCTTTCTTATTAAATCATATGGTTTCATAATTGTTCTCGATGTTAGGAGTTTTTACCCGAGGTAATTAAGTTTTGACTGTGTTGTAGGTCGAAAACTAATGGATTATACAAAATAATACCAATTTAATTTTTACTCAGCCAATTGTAGCTTTAACTCACCGAATTGAAGTATTTCTAATTAGTTTCTTGCATTGATTATGGATAAAGTTATTATTGAGTTTTACCTTAACCCAATTTCAATACTGATTTCACATTTTCAGAGACTTGATTCAGTTTTGGGAAGAAAGTTGAAGGTAATATCTCAAGAGTGCGATTTTCTTTCCTACATTATTGACATCTGTTAAAAGTATGGTTTCTAGATAACCAAATTGTTCTCTATTTGCAAACATTTTTACAAAACAATCTTATATATGAGACACTCCTTTAATATCAATACAAGTGAAGTTCATGGAATGAAAGAGGATGCTATCGCGTTTATTTATGTAGTGTTCTATTTAGTGAGGGTAGAACGAATACCAATAATAAAATATATTCAAAATTCTTACAATTTCACTACAATTGCACTACAATCTCAAGTGGATCTACATGGTGCAACTTTATTAACTTGTACGGGTTGAGAAGACTTGCCTTAGGAGACCCGTATCCGCACATTCCATTAGAAATCCACGATTAATCTTGATTAGCCAAAGCAAATTCAAAGTACTCAATGTTGCTACTCGTTCGTCATTAT